AGTCGAACGAGAAGCTTCGCAAATCGAGCCGGCTGCTCCGGGTACCGCTGTCGGCAGTGAACCTCCAGAAGGGAGTAGATTCGATCTCGCAGCCGTTCCACCTGGGCGACGTCCTTCAGCTTGCCGACGGCTGCTTCGAAGATGGCAAAGAAAAAAGGGTACTCAAATTACCTCAAAATCACTTCAATTTTTTTCCTTTTTTACTTACACGGATTAAAAAGCACAATCGCCCGCAAACAGCCCAGCTCCGCCCGATCCATGGCCATTTCCCTCATTTTAGCGACCAGCTCGTGCAGCACCCGATCCATGATATTTCCAATGCCCGCCTGTTGGGCATTCGCCCGACTGACCAGTCCGCCATTGGCCAGAAGAAGGGCGTCAGTTCGGGCCACCGATCGGTAGCTGAACTCCGCAATCAGCAGCTCATTCCAGCCCGTTTTGAGGAGGGCAATCTGATCCTCAAGCGGCAAATGGGTACTAAAGTAGGGCACATGACGAAGCCACCGAAAAAGGAGTTCCACCTCGCGAGCGGCGGCCTTGGTGTTAGAGGTAATCTGTTGAAAGGAAAAAATTATAATTTAGTACTCCTTAAAATTCCCTCAATCTTTCATTACCTCACTAATCCTCACTTCGACCTTCTTCTGCGCCTCGAGAATCTTCTCAATGGTCAGCTCGAGAAAGGGATTTCCTCCTCCATTACTTCCATTAATAGAGGGTGATAGCTGCTGTTGTTGTTGAAGTCCATTGTTTCCACCACCGCTGCTACTGTTGACTACCGAAAACGGTCCTCCCGAACTTCCGTTTCCGTTTCCATTTCCAATGAGGGGCGTGCAAACGAGGGAAGAGGAAGTCGATTCCACCTCATTGTCGGGCTTGTTCCGTTGCCGCTCTTCCTGAACAGCCTCGCGTTTCATGCCCATCTCCAGGCATTTCTAGAAAAAAAGTACAAAATTAGATCATTAGAATTTCAAGTACNCCGCTCTTCCTGAACTGCCTCGCGTTTCATGCCCATCTCCAGGCATTTCTTGAAAAAAGTACAAAATTAGATCATTAGAATTTCAAGTATGAAAAGTACTGAAAAGGCTTACCTGATACCGACAGTACTGACAGCGATTTCGCTGGCGCTTATCGACGATGCAGCGCTTCTCATCGCGGCAGACGTAGGTGAGATCTTTGCGCACCGTTCGCTTGAAGAAGCCTTTGCAGCCTTCACAACTAAACCACAAAAACCCTCAATTATGCCCTTAATAATCAGAAGTTTCCCAATACTTACCTATAAACGCCGTAATGTTTTCCTGAGGCTCGATCTTCACAAATTGCACACAAATGCTTACTTCCTGACAGAGGATGATTTGGAGGATAAGAAGAGGAGGCGGACCCGGGCGTTTTGGGCGTCATTGATCCACCAGAGGGAGTCGGCGTGGTGGGAGTATCACAGGA